TTATTAAAAATACAACGTACTGTAAAGTTCCACTACCAGTACTTTTAGTACTTTCTTTCAATACCATCAAAAACACTAGGAATACCATTGTTGCATATGACATATACTACAGAACAATCAAACATTATACTTCCAGTACCCTGTGTCAATACCATTCAAAGGCACTAGCAATACCATTCATAGTCACTATCAATACTATTGTTGCATATGACACATACTACAGAATCATCAAACATTATACTTCCAGTACACTGTGTCAGTACCATTCAAAGGCACTAGCAATACTATTGTTGCATAGGAAATATACTACAGAACCATCAAACATTATACTTCCAGTACCATGTGTTAATACCATCAAAAGGCACTAGCAATACCGTTAATGCATATGACATTTGCTACAGAACCATCAAACACCATACCTCAAACATTTGTTAGGACTAAAACGCTTTTTAGGACAGTACTTCCAGTACCATGTGTTGATACCATCTAAATGCACTATCAATACCATTACTGTGTTTGACATATACTACAGAACCACCACGAATAATACAATAAGCCTCTTTCCCATATCCTATATCAAATAAACGTCTTTGCAAACTTAAGCAACACCCAAATCGGTCTGTTTCAAGACAATGGAAAAAGAAAATCAAACCTTGTTGTTTATTACCGTTCCCTTCGCCATTGTTTAGAAATGGGTTTGTTTAACATTTTTTTCCTTTTATTTTTCTGCGTCTTTGTTCTTTGTTGCTTCGTTGTTCTTTGTTCTTTGTTTCTTCATTATCTGGAAATGGGCATGAACGATTACTGTGGTTTTTTTTTTTTCTGCGCCTTTTTAACTTCCTTCTTGTTGTTTGATTTTTGAAATACAACGGGCAAAGAGCGTGTTACACAAACAGCGTGTTGGAGGTTTTCAATAAACTATGTAAAATTAATATAAGGTAAAGGGTATTTTAGTATGTGCACATTTCATTAGGGACTGATGTGTATGTTAGGTGCGTGAATAGGGACTGAACTGCTTGGGGAAACTACCTAGGAACTAGTCTGCGTTTGCATGTTTTGCAATGGGGATTTATCTGTAGTTTTCCCTTAATTATTTTTCAATTTAGATAAGGGATAAAATTGATAAAAAAATCTATTAATGCTTTATTGGAATTCTAAAACGACAAATAATTTGGACAAATATGCTCTAACTAATTTAGTCTTTTTATTAAGAAATATTATTTTTTATTAATAATATTATTATGGGCAAATGGCAAAAAGGCCCATCACATGGGACTTAAATGCATTTTGATCCACAAAAAAAACAGTCTCTCAATTAAGCCCATCCCCATGTCTTTAGTCTAAAATACCCTCAATAATATAATTCTTATCAATTCCACCCATTATGCTCTAACTTCCTTAATATTACACATTGACCCCGGATTTAAAAAAATATATATTAACCCCCAAAACTTTTTTTTTTTCAGAAAATACTTTTTTTTCTGAAATGTTTTTTTTTTCGGCCAGATTCCGGCGTTGACCGTTGGTCTCCGGCATTGACTTTTTTTTTTTTTCCTGAAATATTTTTCCGGCCGGTCAACCACCGTTGACCGCCGGTCTCCGACGTTGACTTTTGTTTTTTTGTTTTGAATTGTTTTTCTTAGTAAAAAAATATTTTAATTAATATTACTGTCTTGGCTAGTCTCCGGCAGTTATTTAACTGTCGGAGACAGTAATTTAACTGTTAATTGACTCTTTTTTTTTCTTCAAAAATATTTTAATTAATATTACTGTATTCGTTGCTAAATTACAGTCTCCAGCAGTTATTTAACTGTCAGACAGTAATTTAACTGTTAATTGACTTTTTTATTCTTAAAAAAATATTTTTAATTAATATTACTGTATTCGTTGCTAAATTACTGTCTCCGGCAGTTATTTAACTGTCAGAGACAGTAATTTAACTGTTAATTGACTTTCTCTTTTTTTTTTCCTTAAAAAAATTATTTTAAATAATATTACTGCCTTGAATGTTAAATTACTGTCTCCAAAAGTAATTTAACTGTCTTAGACAGTAATATTAATTAAAATATTTTTTTTAAGAAAAAAAAAAGAAGTCAACGCCGGAGACCGGCGATCTCCGGTGGTGGCGGGTCAAAATTGAAATTAGGGTTAAAATTGGTTAATTGATGAAATTGGGCTAAATTGGGGTGTAAATCATGAAATTGGAGTTAAATTGGGTTTCAATGAATTGGAGGTAATTTTGGTATATATAAATGGGTTTTCCTTATTTGCAAATAAGTTTGAATATGTTGGATTTATTTGAAAGACAAAAAAGTTGGATGTCCCTCTTTTAATTAAGTGCCCTTGTCATGGGCCTATTTGCTATTACCCCTATTATTATTGTTATTTGGGTGTGTGTATTTCGAAATGGGAACGAACAAAATTTGGAAAGAAGTTTGAAAAGAAAATTGTAGTCGAGGCAAGAACTCATTCTTTCTCCTTAAGACAAATTTGCCCCGTGCAGTGCTCTCGGTTTACGGCAATTGTCTCCCAAGATACAATGACTATTTCAGTTCCAACAAAGCAGCATAACAATTATTGGAACACGGCGAACGAAACGACGTTTAAGACTTTATAAGACACGAAGAAAATGACTTGGTAATGCAACAATATGCAATGAGATGCTATGATGAGAAGTGAATTCAATTAATGTATTGAATTCCATGTGAATAATAAAATTAATCAAATGGTGGATTTTGGAATCTATTTATAGATTTTCAAAGGTTATGACCACAAGCCACAACTCTTAGGAAAATAATTTCATGGAAATGTATCACACATTTTCTCATTAACTACACACCTATTCAATTTAATAGGTGCTTAAACACCTCCATCTTTTTCAATGGTGGTATTTCACTTTATTATTTTCCACACTTAAATATTTTAAATGATCCATTAATTTATCATTCATCAAAAATTAATTTTGAGAATTTAAATTAAACCACTTAAATATTCAACAAAATTTGAGTCAAATACTCAAAATTTCCGACCATTATTTCAAATAATTTTTAAATGGTCGTTACAATGCGGTCGTTCGAATTTGCTCGTTGAAATATAGTTGTTTAATTAAATTTAAACTAAAATTTTCTAAATAAATAAAATATGATAATTGTGTAAAAGATAAACAATGTTGTTGGAGTGTGAGGTTAAAAGTAGTGGTGTATAACACTGTTCGTCTCTTAAATTATAGATATAAACAACCAGTTTTTAAACAACATTGGAAATGGCCTAAGGATTGCATATGGGGCGGTTGGTTATAAGGCAAATTCTGCAAATCTCGAACCTACATAATTGGTGAACTTTTTAATTCAAATCCGGTTACGAATTAGAATTAAAAAGAAGGTAGGGGAATGTCAATTAGTGAAGTTAGAAACCAACTCCGTCCATATCCATCTAGGGTAATATATATGCTACACTTGGTGAATATAACCAGGCACCCTAATTGATAAGATTTCCACTACGGGTTCAGTTATGGCCCATTAAATTTTAGAAATATAATTATAAAATAAATTAAAAAGGACACATGTCAAGAAGAGAGCCACCCGGTGAAAATCACCGGGTGTAGCATCGTAATCCCCTCCATCTAGTATAAGATTTTTAGGATTTGCAACACTAACTTTTGTTTATGCTTGCTCTAAGAATATATAATTTTAAGCTATAAGCTGAGAAGCACAGTCTAACTGCTTCCTCAATTTAAAAACACTTTTGTTCATGCTTCTCTAAAAATAAATAATTTTCAGATATAATTTGAAAAACAGCATGAGGTTGAGACCTTTTTTGTAATTAATTAAAAAAATATTTGACATATACACCCTTATATTCTTGATCCAAATCCAAATATTAGTTCAATTTTGATATTTCACGAACATAAGCTAAAAAATAAATTTTATTTGCAGACACTACAACTTCATAGTATTTGCAAATAGCTCTAACTTTTAAAAATAAGCATTTATTCAAAAAAAAAAAAAAAAAAAAAAAAAGCTCACAATCACAGATTTGCTTATGTAAAAGTTTTTTGTGTAAACACCACCTAAGTGACTTTTAAAAAGTCAATAATGAGTAATTAGAAATGTTATTATTATAAAATGCAATTAAATATATAAATTAGCACAAAATATGAACCAAAATGTGAATAGAAATAAGAGTAATTTAGTTCCGTACAGCACGGCCTTCCATTCACTAAATAAAGTAAAAATGGTGAACTTTCTTGGCCAACCCATTATCCCATATCATTTTCCGACAGAGAGAGAGAGAGAGAGAGAGAGAGAGAGAGAGAGAGAGAGAGAGAGAGAGAGAGAGAGAGAATGCTGCAGAAAACTTTCAAGAAAATGGTACAGAAAATATCAAGAAAATGGAGGCTGCCATCTGTAGATGAAACCCCTATTGCAGTTTTGTTTGATTAAAAAAAATAGAAAAAAAAAATATTGTTTGTTGCATTGAATTTGGGATAAAAAAATGGATGAAGATGATTGTTTTGGGAAGGGAGAAGTATTCAATCCGGTGCTTGCGATGGGGACGCAGGTTTCTTGTCTTCTTGTCATTTCACATTTCTTCCAACTCCTCCTCAAACCCTTCGGACAACCTGCACCCGTCGCTCAAATTCTCGTAAGTATGTCATCAAACAATAACACCACGATTTCCTTTTCTTTTCTTTTTTTGTTTGTTTTCTTTAACGTTGTAAGAACTTATCATGTTTAATTAATTAACCCAATTTTTCAATGATTTTTAGTTTGAGAGTTTTAAAAAAAGGTTAGAAGTCTTTTCCTCCATTGCATGAAAACTTGATTCTGAGGTAGATTGACAAGCTTAGTAGAGAGAGAGAGAGAGAGAGAGAGAGAGAGAGAGAGAGAGAGAGAGAGAGAGAGAGAGAGAGAGAGAGAGAGAGAGAGAGAGAGAGAGAGAGAGAGAGAGACCAAATTGATTGTAGACACTAATGCTAGAGCATTAGTGACAATTGTAATTCGATTATTACAACAACTTGGTGTTCTTAATTAAACATTTGTCTTAAAACTCAAACATTTCCTTATGTGAATAATAATAATGCAGGCAGGTTTCGTGTTAGGCCCATCTTGTCTATCGCAAATCTCAAACGTAAAATCGTTCTTCTTCTCGAGTTCAGCCGACTACTACGAAACGATGGCACTCTACGCGAGAATCATAATCATGTTTCTCATCGGCCTCGAAACGGATTTTCCTTACCTCTTACGCAAATTACGTATAGCTGGCACGATTGCATGCGGCAGCTGTTTCATCTGTACCGTATTCGCAGCAGCCGTCACTTCTTTCATATTCACAGAGACCGGGGCCCACGGCTCTCATTTCATCATGGCCTTAACGCTCTCCATAATCTTGTCCAACACAGCCTCTCCCTTCGTCACTCGTCTCGCGCACGATCTCAAATTCGCAAACACCGATATCGGACGCCTGGCGATATCTTCGTCGCTGATTAGCGACGCATACGCAGTACTTTTGTTGATTATAATCACGAGGGACAAGCAGGAGTACGGCTTCAAGAATTCGATTTTTTTGGGAATTTTATATTCCGTGGTGATAATTGTGGTTATTGTTGTGAATAGACACGTCGCGAATTGGCTGAATAGGAGGAACAGAAGCCAAAAGTACTTAAAAAACACGGAGATTTTTATTCTCTTGGCGATTTTATTCGTCGCTGCTACATCTCTCGAGACGCTGGGGTTTAGTAGCATTATTGCTTGTTTCCTTATCGGAGCTTTGTTTCCGAGAGGTGGCAAAACGGGTCGGACCCTCTTGATCAAACTCTCGTATTCGGTTCATAACTTTGTGCTTCCTATATACTTTGGTTACAGCGGCTTCAAATCGGACCTCACTCATATAAACAGTTTGACTAATTTCGCCATAGTTGCGATTATTATTCTACTCAGCATTGGTGGTAAAGTAACCGGCACGTTAGCTGCGTGTTTTCACTTAAAGATTCCACTTAACGAGGGAGTTCTCTTAGCTTTCTTGATGAACTTGAAAGGCCACGTCGATTTGCTTGCTCTAACGATCGGCGTCGAGAATAAAGTAAGTGTCTTTATTTATTTATTATTAGATTTTTTTTTTCTGATAAAAAACTTATCAGAACCGAATGTTTTGATCGACGCAGGCAGTGTCGAGCCAAGTGTTCTACAATTTGATGATGGCGGCAGTTGTAATAAACTCATTGATATGGGGACCCGTAATAGCGTACATGGTAAGAAGAGAAAGCGACATCCTAGGTTACAAGCACATAGCTTTCGAGTTCCAATCGCCCGAAAGCGAACTAAAACTCCTCGCATGCGTGCATGGCCCACGCCCCGTGGCGACAATGATAGGACTCATCGCAACTTGCAAAGGGTCCGATAATGTCGCAATCACTCCGTACTTAATGCACCTAATCGAGCTTCCAGAAAAGACAAAAACGACCCTATTGTTCCATCAAAAGGAAGAGGACGAATTGAGCGACGACGACAATTATGGAGGCAACGACGTGGTGGAAATCAATGAAGCGGTGGATATATTCGCCGCGGAGACGGGTGTCGTTATACACCAATTAAAAGTTGTTTCTCCCTTTGCGACTATGTATGATGATGTGTGCGAGTTCGCGGAGGACGCGAGAGCGTCAATTATTATATTACCTTTTCATAAGCATCAAAGAATCGATGGGAAATTGGAGAGTGGGAAAGAAGGGATAAGGGCTACCAATCAAAAAGTGCTTCGCCATGCAAAGTGCTCCGTGGCAATTCTCGTTGACCGTGGGTTGACCGCGGGTACGTTGCATGTGTCCGGTTCGGGAATGTTGCAACACGTGGCGATGTTGTTCTTTGGTGGGCCCGACGACCGTGAGGCCTTGGGGCTTAGTAAGCGTTTGGGGATGCATCATCATGTGAACCTTACGGTGATTCGGTTTCTTGAAAAGTCGGAAGGTGGGGAGAATATTGGGGTCAACATTACACAGAAGGACGAGGATGTTTTTATGATGGCGATTTCGAATCACGAGTTGCAAAATGACGCGGATAATATGGTCTTGACGGACTTCTTCAATAGGTACGCATGCCATGGGATATTTTTTTTCTTCCCTCGCTTTTTCGCATTCAACACCCGTTGTATTTACTCTAATTGTCAAAAAAAAAAAAAAAAAAAAAAAAAAGGCATCCTTTTTTTTTGTTTTTATTTGCATAAACTCCCTTCTGATTGAAAATGGGAGTTTTAGCAATTGACTCAATTTTCTTGGGTTTTGGCATTTGGTCTAATTGACACGAATGAATTGATTGATAGGTACGTAACATCGGGAGAAGTAGGGTACGTAGAGAAACACGTGGCGCACGGAGGAGAGACGGCGTCGGCGTTAAGAGATATGGCGGATATGTATTCGATGTTTATAGTCGGAAAAGGCAACAAAGGACACTCAACACTAACAACAGGTATGAGTGATTGGGAAGAATGCCCTGAGCTTGGGAAAGTAGGTGATTTTCTAGCTTCTTCCGATTTCGAACTTAGTGGTTCTGTTTTAGTTATTCAACAACATAGACCTTCCAACAATGGTGACGACGATCTTTAGATTTTTTTCGTCGTATTTTTTTTGTAGAGAGATTGCAGCAGATATATACATGTTTGTTTCTTCTGTATTCTCTTTCTTCTCTTGAAAGAAAATGTAGATATGATTTTGTGTAAATATGATATAGATTTTCTTTCTTCAGTTTATTCTTTCTCGGAAACTAATTCGTGTTTATTTAGTTTTTTTAAAAAATCACGAAACAATTTCTAAAGTTTCACTCTCGTCCAAACTTGATTTCAATGCTACGGTAAATAATGTGTTCTTTCACTAAAAATAAATCACTTATTTTTTTCTTTTCAAATTATTCTTCTAAAATATAGTTTTTCATACGAACTTTAAACATGATTTGACTGCTAATATGAATTTTGTCTAATCTCAAATTATAAACAAACATTACTTTCATTCTCAAATTATTCTCTCAAAACATATTTTTTCTCAAAATAAAATGAAAATAACTTTCATAGTTTAAAAGTAAAAAAGAATAACTTGTAGAAATGATGATTTTATTCCATATTCTTTTAGCAAAATATAAATAATGTATTAAAATAATGTTGTCACTTAATAATCCCATAAAAGTAGATTAGCTCTAAAATTTTCATTTAATTTTTAACATCCATAAACATTCTCTATAGAAAACATGACATTTTGCATTCAGAACATTTCTGATTTTTAGATCAAATAAAGTCTAATGCACATCCAAACAGTCCAATTACAGAAACTTTACAAATGCACAACCACAACAACTGATGCTGCAAATTACTAAAACACGTAAATCGCACCATAGCCCCAACTCTCTTCGTACCTAACCGCAGTTTATTAACTGCAGACAATTCACGCAATCCCCAACGAAACCGGAAACTTCGGTATATCGTTAAGCGGGTTCCACTCTAGGGGGCAATATCGGCAGATAAATATTTCTGCATTGCCAATGTAGAGTCACGAGCGAAACGCTTTTGCCTCAAAAGTACGTAAGGGTATCCAATAACCGATAGAAAATTGGCTGGCTTTGAAAACGAAACTATTTCATACCACACGTCCTTCTTCTCGTCCATCGTTATTGAGAAGCACTCCTCCCCTGCCTACTTATTTTTAATCAAATAAATATTTACAAAATGGAAAATCGAATAAACATCAAATCTCATAAAGTTCAACCTTTTTTGGTGCATTCTTGAATTAAGTATATATTAGAGCTAGAAGTCGAGCAACCAAACTAATGTACTTTTCTTGAAAATACGACGCTTTATGTATGTCCTCGGAAATTAACTAGGCATAAATTATCTCAATAATCCTCAGAGGTCAACTAGATATTTATCTAACAAACGTGTAATCGGTAATCCCAATAAGAATACACAATAATCCACATCTAGGATATCCATAGCTCACGTGGTTAAGTAATCATTTGAGGGCTCGTTTGGTTTCTAAGATAAGATTAGCCAAGACATGATTAAATAATCTTACAAAAACCGAATGGTATTGTAGGATCATAGGAGGTTCAATAAATAATCTCCCACTTAGCCAAGATGCCTCAAAAGTTATTGGACTAACCAAACATCCAATAAGGTCCGGTTATTTAATTAATCCTGGCTAATCTTACCAACCAAACGATGCCTAAAAGAGACTAAAGCAATAACAACAGCACAAAGTGAAGAAAAATAAAAAAAACAATACCAGCAGATGTCCTTGAAGAGTTCCACTACCGAAACTATACGAGGCCAATGCATTTTTGGAGTTCTTGGATTCGTCAACGTAGACAACTTCTAAAGGCATCAAAAGCCATGGCAAAACTGCCTTTGCACACACGCAAAACTTCACCCCACTCTGAATACGAGTCTTGGAATCAACAAATGCCCAATTCAAGCTAAAATGCCTGCACACCATTTAATTGTACATGCCATCAAAAACAACATGCTAATGACTTATATATATATATATATATATATATATATATATATATACACACACACACACACACACACACACACACACACACACACACACACACACACACACACACACAGTTAAACCTCTACAAATTAATATAGTCGGGACCAACAAAATTCTATTAATTTAGCGAAATATTAAATTATCGAACTACTAATTAAATAAGTTTTCACTGGGTCAGAAACGGGAGAAATTATTATTTAAGCGAGGTTATTAATTTATCGAGGTTATACTGTAATATATATATATATATATATATATATATATATATATATATATATATATATATATATATATATATATATATATATATATATATATATATATATATATATATATATATTTTTTATTTTTTTTTTCTGTCGTGAATCATGTATACACACACAACACATTCCCATCACCTCCAATTCTGAAGTGCACTTTTGCCTTTCTCAAAAGTCTCGAGACCCGAACCCACAAAAATACGGGCATGGTTAACTAAAAAACCACTGTCTGAGAGCTCTCTGTCTTGTTTAAGGTTGAACACGGGCTTAGCTGTAGCACCTTTGTATCTACTGTCATAATTGAAAACACCTGACCTGTTCATCAAGGTACATAAATTTTCGTTAATTGTTATACATAGTGTTAGTTAACGTGAGAAACAATTAAATCGATTAAGAGCAACATAGGGTTCAAGAAAGATTAACATCTTATTACTTGTTGATACATGCTTTCTCTTCTTGACGAGATGGACGAGACCAGCACAAGAAAATCATATTTCCCTGTATGTAACATTTTGTTCAGTGAAAAGAAAAAGGGTGTACGAATAAAATTACATGAAAGGTGCAACTAATTTCAATCGACATTAGAGAATTTGTTACAGGTGTGAAACATTATAAATAACATAATATCGATCAAAACCTTATCACCTTATATATCCATCCTAAATATTCAAGATAAGTCAAAATGGATGCAAGAAGACTTCTATAACTATCGTGAAAAGCTTATAAACATATACTTATCCGTAACAAAAATGATATCCACTATTCTATTTGTCATTTGCCGCGAAAAGCTTGCTTCGATTCTATTTAAGAAGGAAAATTTTATTCAAATAAGCTATTATGCCATTTGATTTACTTCTGCTGAAAAAGTCTTTAAAGCTGATATTGTTCCTCCGAAATCTAAAGCTCTATTTCGATACTTATGTAACTTTAACTTAGGAGATAACTTCCCCCCCCCCCATGATCTTTAGTATATAAATAAACTTGTAATGCTATTTGAACAGATAATCTCGTTGTAGAATTTAATGTATAAACCCATTTATCTTTTTAAGGGAAACTTTCAGACAAAGGATAAAATTTGACTTTCTTATTTCCTGCAAATAGTAAAACTGTCCATAAGTTAAACCACTTAGGCCTCGTTGGTTGGGTAGATTAACCATGATTAACTAAACAATTGGACTTTATTTGATGTTTGGTATCCCCAATAACTTGCCGGATCGGCCCGCAAATATTATATTATCGTGCCTTATCTTAACTTCTAGGCATGTTTTTTATTGGATAATCCAAGGTCCAATAATATAATTGTGTTTCATTAGATTATTTAATCTTATCTTGGCAACCAAACGAGGCCTTACATTATAGTTTTTATTTCGTAACCTGAAAAAATTTGCAAGTCAAACAAATCTTGGTACATATTTTAACAAAGATAAAAGATTAGCTAAAATCCTGCAAATTCAAAAGTTTGAAAAATTGGGACACTAAAATCAGTCCCACAAAGAGTCTACAACACTACAAAACCAGTAGTCTAAAATGTGTAGAGCAAACAAATACGAAAATCGAGCATCTCTAACAGGTAACCATCCTCAACATTATATCACAAGTTACGCGGCGGGAGCAACGCCAAACAAAAACTTTGCAAAGCAGCCCCCAAAAAAATAACAAAAAAAAAAAAAAAAATTGAAATATCCCTCAATGGTGTGTAAATTGATCTCCATGAAAAAAAAAAAAAAAATCTGATTTCCACCTCAAACCTTTGTCTCAGTACCATGTTGGCTTGTACCCTACACTCCAATCCTGTAACACCCTACTGTAAATCCAGACTGAGGCAGTAATACATTGATATACTAACAATTTGATCCAATCAAGCAAATTGCAAAACTGATTAAATTTTAATTTCAATTATATGTTTAATCCAATACATTTTCGTCCAGACTCGAGAATAGCAAAAAATAAAAAATACAAAAATGGAGTATGTAAGAACCCTAAAATTCGCAGAGCAGAAAAAAAGGAGAAAGCATGTAATCGTACCTGAGCGAGTTCTTAACTGCTCAAAATCGAATGAATGACGGAAGAAGGCAAACGGGAAAGAAAAGTGGAGAGTTGTGTAATTCTTTGGAGGGACTCACTTTTTACTCGAGTTAAATGCAAAAACACCCCCTGTGTTAATCCTAAAGACCAAAAAACCCCCTGAGATTAAAAAAAGTGGCACAAACCCCCCTGTAATCAATAGTCAAAGCCATACACCCCCCTATCCTTTGTGCGTGTCATTCACTCGCTGTGTGTGCGATTACTTGTGCGATTTTTATATTTTGTGCGTGAAAGGACAAAATTGCCCTTCTGAATCAACACTCATTAAACAATTAAACTACTCATGATTTTTTTAATAATATTTAAATTTAAAAAAATAAAATGAAAAAATATAAATTATATTTAAACAAATTAAAAAAGAAAAGAAAAAAGAAATGGCATAAAAAACCACCTCATCATCTTCTTCCTCCAAAATGCCCCACTCCCACGGATCCTCATCATCTTCTTCCTCCAATATGCCCCACCCCCACCACTTCCTGCCAAGGCCGCCGGTTCGCTGGAAACCTCAAAAAATTTAGTACCACAACAACGACAATGGCAAAATTGGAATGCATATATACTTCATTTTTGGGAAAATCGAAGAAATGGGTGGCCCCGAGAAAATGAGTTGAAAAATCTGGAATGTAGTAATTGTTTTGTTGAGGAGAGAAGAAGGTTTATTGTTGCCGGTCGACGTGTAATGGTGTCGAAATTGTGGATCATGACTTTGGATTTTTTTTTTTCTTGGAATAATTTTGTAAGAAATTTTGATTTGAGAGGGAATTCGTTGTTGATAGGGGTTGAGAAGCAATTGCCAGAGAGGGGTTTCAGTCCACGAACGGAGCCGGCGACGGCACTGGTGGGGAGGGGTGGGGTGAGGTGATGTGCCCAGAGAATTAAAATCACAGTGTGTGTAATGTGTGTCTGTGTGTTTTTTTGTTTTGGGAAGAGGGCTTAATTGAAAGTATTAGGGACTGAATTGAAAATTTTAAAAACTTCATTTGGGTCATAAAATTTTAGAGGTTGGACAGATTTATCCGAGGGTTTCCTCGTCTTTTCACGATCGGTCAACGAATAAAATAAAAATGGGTCGAGTATGCTTGTTTGAACACTTATCAGGGGGGTTTTTGTCACTTTTTTTATCCCAGGGGGTTTTTCGGTCTTTAGGATTAACACAGGGGGGGTTTGTGCATTTAACTCCTTTTTACTCTTAAAGATATTGCTATTTGTAGTTAAAACAGAATCCCCTCTCTCTTAAAAAAAAAACCTCACTCATTAATAATAGAAGCTAATTTGGCATAAAATTATTTTTGTTCAAGTGATATACGAACACAAATGAGCTCATTGGACGAAAGTCGGGATACACATCATAATGAGGTAAAAATTTCGTCAGAGAAGGCAAACGTCCAGCCGAAGCGCGCGAAGCTGTTTTTCACACCCAAGTTGGGCGTGCAAACCACCGATCCACGCCCATTTTGGGCGTGCAAAACACCGGGCCACACCCAAACCGGGCGTGTGTACAGCTTCTGACGCCTGGCTTGGGCGTCCCCCCCCGTTTTTTTGCTTTTTATTTTTTTACGTTTTTTTTTTTTGGAAACCAACACTACGGGTGAAGTTGAAGCCGATTATACTGATTATTTTACAATAACTCAAGTTTTTGAATTCAAGGACGAGCTGGTAGATTGGACGAGGTCTGTTGCTAGAAATCTTTTTTTGTAAAGTTGGCTAAAAGAAGTGGCCATGAAAATAAAACGTACCTAACTTGTGACTTATTTGGGGCGAAACGAGATAAACCATCAACAAACCCAACTGCGCGCCCGAGAAGATGGACTAGTAGCAAAAAAATCCATTGTGGTTTTTAGGTTGCGGGCGTGAAACGTTGGATGACAGATGGAAACTCAGAGTATTATATGGGAAGCATAATCATTATCAGGTATATACGTGTGGGCATGAGCTGAGTTCATTGTCTCAAAAGGAGTTGGAAATTATTAAAGATCTGTCAAAAAGTCACGTGTCGCCGAAGAAAATTATTGCTAACTTGAAACAAAAGGGCTTGGGCCTCGATGCGTATATGAAACAAATATACAGTGCAAATGATCATTTCAAAAAAGAAGTTATGGGTGACCATACAGTGATGCAACATTTGATTGGGTTGCTTGAGGAGCACAACTATTACAAGTGGATTCGTACTGATGAAACAACACATGAAGTTATTGATCTAATGTGGGCTCACCCTTAGTCTGTCGAATTGTTAAGGAAGTTTCCGTACGTTATACTACTTGGCAGTACTTACAGAACCGATTAGTACAAAATGCGTTTGTTGGGAGTTTATTACAAAAATACCACCCCTATGAAATCGCGATGGCAAGTTACCCCTGTGAAAAAAAAAAAAACTCACTCATACCTCTCTGTGTAATCTATTTTGAAGCACACTGCACCCATTGTCATTTTGCTTGTTGACCAAATGTCAAAAGAAAATAAGCCCATAGGTTTTTTTTCAATTAGAAAAGCAAGTGTTTTAACAAATAAAATACAAAATAAAGTATTTGTTAATATAATAATAATTTATAAAAAGAAAAAAGAAACAAATATATTTATTAAATACAACAAACATATATGTTAATAATTAAAAAAATACAAAATAAAACATATGTTAAATATAATAACAATTATAAAAACTAAAAAGAAGTCTTCATCTTCTTCTCCCTAGAACCTGACCACCGCCGCCTGCCTCCATCCCCCAACCACTGCACTCCAACCATTCAACTCACAACTTAATTCATCCACCATTCAGCCCAAGTCGGAGTCTACCACCGCTGCTTACACCCACATCTTCAAATCTTCTTCCAATTGAGCCATGCCGCGGCAGAGGTGTGCGGCCGGTGGGCGGTGAGATCGAACGGAGAAAATGGAGGCCCAAAAAATGAATTTTCTTTCACCATCTTCATCTTTGTGCGGTGGCAGCGGTGGTCATTCTTGAAAGCTTAGGTTTCTTCGTAGTTTTCGGGCCATGGTTGTTCAAAATCCTCAGAGAATTGGAGATGGACATGTTTGACAAAGGTGGCTTCTTGAGGAAGATGAAGACGGATGAAGAACGAAGACGGAAAAAGGGGAAAGAAAAAAAAATAAAAATAAAGCAAAGGGAAAACAAAAAAGAGAGAGGTTGGGGGCATTTCTGGTAATTCAAATGTAAAAATGGAGCAAAAATCGCACGAACAACGCGTGAGAGACACGATTTGTTTTGAGGGGGCTCGATGCTTTGACTTTATTTACACAAGGAGGCATGGGCGAGTTTTTTTTAACTGGGGGTTATTTGCCAATTCGCGATTTTCACAGAGGTGGTGTTTGCAATTAACTCCTTTGTTGAAGATTGTTGGTGTTACTTCTGTGGGTTATAATTTTATGCGCCATGGAAATGAAGACCATTATGCCTGGGTATTGCAGAGACTGAAAAGACTTTATCCCCCAGACACTCTATCTAGTGTAATTGTGATTGATTGAGGGTAAGGACTCTTTAAGGTGTTAGAGAATGTATATCCGCCCGTGGATCATCTTTTATGTCTTTGGCACATTAACATCAATGTGAGTCGTCGTGCTGCACGATGTTTGGGCAATAATAAGTCGTGAGGGATTGCATTCCTACGTGGGCCGTGGCAAAATGTTGTAACATCCCTATGTGAGGAAGAATTCAACAGGAATTGCACGGCTTTGATGGACAAGTACGCAGATTATTCACAGTTGATCGAGTACCTCCAAGACACTTGGATCATATAAAAAGAGAAATTTGTTTGTGCATGGACGGATTATATTTTTCACTTGGCAATACAACGACTAGCAGGTATTTATTTTTTGTTAAATACAAATATGTAACTTAATGCTATTTTATGTACTGAAACTAAACATATTTTAATCATATTAGGGTGGAAAGTAACCATAGAGCATTGAAGAGATGGATGAATGCGTCCACATGTGGATTTGACACATTTTGGGCACAGTATCATTCACAAATAACAGATCAACTTAATGAGATCCTGAATGAATTTGCAAAGTCAAAGAGGATTCAGGTTAAGACGATTAATGTGCATGTGTTTAAACTTTTGTCTGGTGGAATTGTAACTCATGCCGCTCTGAAGCTTTTGGATGCGGAGATGGAGACAAATTTAGACAGCTGCACTCATTGTCTGAGGACAACTCATGGCCTCCCATGCAAACATGAAATTGATATTAAGGTGAATTCGCGAGGTGATTTGTTTTATGCGGAGGATGTTCACTTGTTTTGGAGGACAACGGTTTTGGTGGATGGTAGCCAAGAAGAAAGTGTTGGTTCCGTTCCCGATCACAGGACATAGGCTATTTTTCGGCTATTCTTGTAATAAATAAACCTTTTTCTTATTAATTATAAAAACACCTTGGTATTCTATATCTTTATCCATTTGTCTCAAACATAGATATAGTCCTTAAAGTTATTACAAGTACTAGTAATTGATCTTTAGGATCGTGAGATATTTACTTTAGTATTATAACTGTTAAACGTGTTCCTAGTCGAAGGGTTACGCCACCAATGAGGATATCGGTCTTATTTGACTGTTGATCTCCACCGTAAAACAATTACGACTTCTCATATTATTTTAACTAGATGAGTTGGTGGAGCTATTTAAAATATTCCGGTCTTATTTGATCCCAGTTTAAATCACCCCATTGTCAATGTTTTTTAGGTTGAACTTTTGACACATAGTTAGCCTAGTGTACTGTGTATTTCTCGTCCAATTTATGCGCTATTTCACCAGGGTGAAGTTTATCTAATACAAATTGGGCCATTTTTTTTTTAGAATATTTCGGTTTTTTTTTTGAGAATTGGGGTCATTTTGTAATTATTTACAAAAATACAATAAAGCGTCGTTCAAAACGACGCGCTTTAACAGCCGTTGGATTGAGCTGAGATTGACGGCCAGATCTCCTATCTTGTCCTCCTAATCTGACGGTCAGGGATTAATATGGGCAATCGGACGGCCGTTAAAAGGCGTCGTTTAAAACGACGCCCTTTGATGCGCCACACTGGATTACAGCG